TATTTAATGAAAGTATCTGTGAGAGCAGGTCTGAACTCAGGCTGTCTCCACACTATCCAAGGAATAGTTTCTTCTCTTTCCTTTTTTTTTCAAATAAACTTTTTGTTGATAATTTTTGTTTTTATATCACCTAAATTTTCCCCTTTGTCTCTCACCCTCCACCTCCCAGAAAGCTATTCCATGTAAAAAATAATTTTCTAGGAAAAGGAAACAAGAAAAAAATCATCAAAACTAATCAAAACTGAAAAAAAATGAAAATATAAGTAATATTCCACACCTATGGACACCTCACCTCTGCAAAGGAATGAGGTTTGGGGAATAGGTGTTTTCTCATCTCTCTATGTTGTTTTTTTTTTTTAGGCAATTGGGGTTAAGTGACTTGCCCAGGGTCACACAGCTAGTAAGTGTCAAGTGTTCGGTCTGAGGCCGGATTTGAACTCAGGTCCTCCCGACTTCAGGGCTGGTGCTGTGTCCACTGCACCACCTAGCTGCCCCTTATCTCTCTTTTTTTGTTCTTTGTAATCATGTACCATTAATTTTCATTTCTATATAAATTGTGGTAGCCATTGTATATATTATTTTCTTGGTTCTGCTTATTTCACTTTGCATTAGTTCATGTAAGTCTTTCCATGCTTCCCTGTATTCATCATGTTCATTGTTTCTTACAGTAGAAGAAAATTCCATCACATTCTTGTACCACAGTTGTCTTAGCCATCCCCCAATTGATAGGCATCTACTTTGTTTCTAGTTCTTTGCTACCACAAAAAGTGCTGTTGTATATATTTTGGTAGATCTAGGGACTTTGTCTTTGGGGCTAAATGCCTAGTAGTAGAATCTCTGGGTAAAAAGGTATGGACATTTTGGTCATTTTATTTAAATCATTCAAAACTGCCTTCCAAATTAGTAATACTAATTCACAGCTCCGCCAGCAATGCATGAACATACCTGTCTTTTCATAACCCCTCCAACATTGACTATTCCCATCTTTTGTCATCTCTGCCATTTGCAGGGTGTAAAGTGATACCTCAGGGTTATTTTGACTTAAACTTCTTTTATTAGTGATTTGTACCATTGTCTTTATATGGTTGTTAATAATAACATGCAATCCTTTTGAGAGCTATTTGATCACATTAGAACACTTTCTTTAGTTTTTCATAGCCCCCCACTGCAACAGTCTTGTGGAAAGGGAAGTTACCTGGCCATTGCACACCTTACTGGGCAAGTTCCTGGTTAGGAACTGGTGGCTTTTACTATAGGATCCCTGTGCTATGAGCCTTCCTCTCCCCGTAACTGCACATAGCCCAAGAATGTGGAGATGGAGGACTCAGCAATAAAAGATAGGAGTGGTGCTGATAGTTAGCTGTTTGATGTAGTCTCTTTTGCTGTCCAGATGTTTTTCTTTACACCTTGCCGAGGCAGTAAAATTGTCGTTGGTTCAGGCTTTGCACAGCTAGATGACAGAAACACCCAGAGGCTCATGAGTGCAAACCTAAGACAAGATGAGAAAGGACTTGAAGCTTACCCAGCTGAAATAACAACCACCAATAGCTGTCAGCCGTGTCTGACTCTTTGTGACCCATATGGGGCTTTCTTGGCAAAGATACTGGAGTGGTTTGCCATTTCCTCCTCCAGTAGTTAAGGTAGACAGAGGTTAAGTGACTTGCCCTGGGTCATACAGTTAGTAAGTGCTAGTGGGTGGATTTCCACTTAGGTCTTCCTGACTGCAGGCCCAGCACTCTATCCACTGAGCCATCTAGCTACGTCATTTGCCAGTTAATGACTATGATAAGGCCACTGGCTCTCAACTGGCTGAACTTAAATGGTTTCAGGTAGTTGGACCTGAGCTGATTACTAGCTCCTGCCTAGATTAACTAAGTTTATATTAGGCATCATTAAAGAAGAAACTGTTGCTAGGGATCTGATTATCTTTTCCCTCCCCTCTTCCCAAAAGGCTAGGTTTGGAATCAAGAAGACTTGAGTTCAAATGCAGACTCATATACTCACTAGCAGTGTGACCCTGGGCACTTCACTTAACTCTATTTGCCCCAGTTTCCTCAACTGTAAAATAGGGATAATAATTATAGCCCCTATTTCCCTAAGTTGCTGTTGAGAATCAAATGAGATGATGTTTGTAAAGTGCTTAGTAGGTTCCTTGACATATTAGGCGCTACATAAATGCACTTTGAAATGTTTGGAGGGGCACTGAGATATTGTGCATCTAGAATATTTGCCAGTGATTTAAACACCCCAAGGCGTTCCACTTTGTGTCTATATGCCTTCCTCAACCATGTCTTTGTGTGCTTCTTATGACAGGACCTAACATAATGGTACAAGGGAGATGTACATGTCCTTTCTTTTTTGTGTTCCTGGTGGAACAGAGAAGCGAGTCAGAGTGGGTGGGAAGCTAACTATCTTCTTTTTGGGAGACTGAAAGGAGCTGATGCACTGAACTGAGTTGGTTGTAGTGAGAACTGGGTCTTGACCACATTAACCAAGCACCTTCCTTCCTTCCTGAGAGTGTGGCTCCTGGGCTCTTACGTTTTCACCAGGAAGGGTGAAGACAGTCTCAAAAATTGTATGTGTGATGGGGACATCTGCATGAGAAAGGCCTTCCAGTTAGTGATGTATCACTTTTTAACTTTTATCTCTTTTTTTTTTCTTTTTTCTTTTTTAGGCAATTGGGGTTAAGTGACTTGCCCAGGGTCACACAGCTAGTAAGTGTCAAGTGTTTGGTCTGAGGCCGGATTTGAACTCAGGTCCTCCTGACTTCAGGGCTGGTGCTCTATCCACTGTGCCACCTAGTTGCCCCTTTAACTTTTATCTCTATCTAGATTTATGTATGACTGTGTGTGTAAATAACTTTAGGAGGGGTTTATCACAGACGTACCTTATTTTATTGTGCTTTGTTTTATTGCTCTTTGCAGATACTGAGGTATTGCTTTTTTTTTTTTTGTTACAAATTGAAGGTTTATGGCAGCCTTGTGTCGAGCAAATCTGTCTGAGCTCATTTTTGGCAGCATGTGCTTACCTTGTGTTTATGTCATATTTTAATAATTCTCACAATATTTAAGCATTTTCATTATATTTTGTTATGGTGATTTGTGATCCGTGATCTTTGATGTGACTGTGGTAATTGTTTTGGGGTACCATGAACTCCATCCATATAATCAATAAGTGTTATGTGTGTTCTGACTGCTCCACCCACCATCCATTCCAGTCTCTCTTCCTCTCCCTGGGTCTTCCTATTCCCTGAGACACAAATAATATTGAAATTCGGCCAATAACCCTACTATGGCCTCTAAGTAAGTGTTCAAATGAAAGGAAGAGTCAAACTTCATTGCTATCTTTTTTTTTAAGAAATTGCCACAGCCACTCCAGCCTTCAGCAACCACCACCCTGATCAGTCAACAGCCTTCAGCATTGAGGCAAGACCTTCTGGCTCAGATGATGGTTAGCATTTTTTAGCAATAAAGTATTTTTAAATTAAGGTATCTATATTGTTTTCTTACACACAATACTGTTGCACACTTCAGACTACAGTATAGTGTAAACAAATTCTTTATATCCTGGCAAACAAAACAATTCATGTGACTCGCTTTATTACAATATTCTCTTCATTTCAGTAGTCTGGAACCAGATGTGCAATAGTTCCAAGGTATGCCCATAGAGCAAAATGGCACTGTGGAAAAAGCACTGGAGTGAGGATCAGGAAACACTTGAAATTCTAGCACCATCTTTGTTTCATCTTGGACAAATGGTTTCTCTGCTAGGCCTCTGTTTCCTCATCTTTATTATTAGATGAACAATAACATCTGGCATTTATACTCCACTTTAAAGTTTGCCAGGTGCTATATGGACACAATCTCATTTGAGCCCCATAGTGACTACAGGCATTATTATTGCCCTCATTTAACAGATGAGGAAACTGAGGCAGACAGAAATTAAGTGACTCACCCTTGGTTACACGCCTAGTTAAGTGTCAGAGGCAGGATCTGAGCTCAGATCTTCCTGGTTCCAAGGGCAGAACTGCTTTTAAAACTAGCCCTGGGAAAAGGGCCCACATGTACAAAAATATTTATAGCAGCTCTTTCTGTGGTGGCAAAGAATTGGAAATTGAAGGGATGCCCATCAGTTGGGAATGGCTGAACAAGTTATGGTATATGAATGTAATGGAATACTATTGTGCTGTAAGAAATGATGAGCAAGCAGACTTCAGAAAAACCTAGAAAGGGTTGTATCAACTGATGCTGAGTGAAGTGAGCAGAACCAGGAGAACATTATACACAGTAATAGCCACATTGTGGGATGCCTAACTTTGATAGACTTAGCTCTTCTCAGCAATGCAAGGATCTAAGACATCTCCAAAAGTCTCATGATGGAAAATGCTATCCACTATGGAGTTTGAATGCAGATGAAAGCATACTATGTGCTTTTTTTTTCTCTTTTTTGTTTCCTCTTTCTTGTGGTTCCTCCTATTGGTTATAATTCTTCTTTACAACATGACTTATGTGAAAATATGTTTAATAGGAATGTATATGTAGAGCCTATATCAGATTGTATGCCGTCTTGGGGAGGGTGGAAGAGAAAATTTAAAACTCAAAAGTTTATGGAAGAGAATGTTGAAAACTAAAAATAAATTAATAAAAAACAAAGTAGCCTTGATTCTGTATTTTAAGAGAATTTTTATATCACTGAATATTCATTTATCTTTTATGAATAGAAGTCTTATTTTCACTATCAATTTGTAAACTTCATGTGATAATCTGTGTGCAAAGGGCTAATATATAAATGCGTAATGTCTACCAATCCTGACTTAAATTCAAATGGAACTAATGTTTCTTCCACCAAAGTCCTACTACAGTTCCTCATCATGGTGGATCCAAGGTGAGTTCCCTTCATGAAACTGGAATGTTTAGAGGCAAGACAGAAATGACTGCCAACAAGAAAAATATGGACTAAATCAATTTTATTTTTTTTTGTTTTTTTTTTTTAAATAGATTGGGGTATGTACCTAGATTTCTTCTTAGCTCCTGGGACATGAAGATAAGTGACTTCTCAATAGAAGAGAGTTACTTATCCTAGAGGAAAGAAACATGAATAAATAAGTAAATATCTTGCTTGGAGAGATGTACCAAATTTTGCTCCATCATATTTTAAGGCAATTCTTATTTTTATTCTGAACAAATGAAAGCCTATTTGAGAGAGTCAGACTATAGGAACCATGCTCAATGAGCAATGTGAATTATGAATTAAACTGCCTATAATAAAAAAGGCATAATAATAAAAGCCAAGTGGATGTAAGTAGTTTTCATTTGATAACCCAATTATGTTTAAAAGCTATACTTATGCTATACTGGTTTTAAATTATTATTTTTAAGAAACAAGGTATATAATGAATGTTGCAAGAAGCATATCAACTTTTTTGGGGGGGGGTGCAAAAGGACAAACAATAGAACAGGTGAGCAGCAGAAAGATAAGATCCCAAGAAAAGTTAGTTTTCTGGGTATCTGAACTTCAGCATATAAGCTTAACAACCAGTGCCTTTTTAGCTTCCCCCTAAAGATATGAAATCTAAGCAAAATCTCAAACATGATGGCAGCAGGGGAAAAAACCTCACTTTGTCAAGGTTCTACATACGAAAGACTTCTGATCATTCTATTTAGGGCTCAGTTAGCAGCATCTGAGTACCCCATTTGGATTCATTTCCTAGTTGCCGATTTACTTTCTGGCCTCACATCTCCACGTGGCCAGCCCTAGTTTCACAGACCCGCCCTGCCTGTGTTCCCAGCACATATAGAACGCAGGCGTTTGCCAGACCCTGCAGTTGTGTTTGGATTATAAATTCTGGCTGTTCCTCTTTGGCTCCTCCTACAGCCACTTGAACTTTGGCTATGAGAGTCAGGAATGACTAAGACATTACTCCTAACTTCACTGCCAGAGGAAGGCCTCTGCACTTGGTCCAGCAGTCTACACACTTGCCTGACTGCTACCACCACAGCACAATACATTACTTGTCCTTTTATGGTACAAAGATGTTTATTTGTAATAAGAGTAGGGCAATCTCTGCCTCTATTACTTTCTACACTGTACTTTCTATCCCTGTTCCCACTGGGTTGTATGATCATAGATGTGTAGCAAGCTGGAGAAAAGCGAATATGGGGTAATCTTCCTCTGTTACGGCCCTGATGATAACTGTGTTCCTGAAAGCTTATTTGAAAGAAAATAATGAGTATGATTTAGTATAAATGTCTGTTGCATCAAGATGTTAAACAGGTAAACTGTGCTACATTTTGAACACCAAGTTAAAGCAGATGACACCAAATACTTTTTAATTAGTGGAAACTGTAAAAGGAAAAAAAAATTGATTCAAAGCTGTCCTAATAGAGTATATCACATTAGTTCATAATCAAACATGCTTTCTCTCTTCTGGGCTACAAGATCGTTTGTATCTTACTTCTTATTCCTCCATGTCTGGAATAGTATTTAGGTTGTGGAAGTAAACTGTTTTTATTCTGTGATCCTGGCTTCAAGTTTCCCACGGAGAAATTCCTTTTAATGCTCCAGATCCCTTCCAGAGCCACTGTCAATATTTTTAAAAACAATAAAATGAGTTGTTATTCAGCTTGTTTTGCTTTCTAGACTAAGTAATTAAAAAAAAAAAACCCAACAGCCTCTGTTTTTAGATGATTCTTTAGTTTGTTACTAAATTAATTGGTTTACTTGTTAAATCAAACAAATAAGGTTATTTTCATTTAACAAGCTCTTATTAAGTATTTTCAGAAATTTTAGTTAATTTCACTTGCCTGTAAATAAATCTGGATAAAAATCAGAGTAAAAACATATAGGATAAAACTTGGTGATAAATATAATAAAGTGGCAGGCAGTATGGAATAATGGTTAGTGGAGAGCAAGCAGCTGTGAGAGTTAGGAATACTTGGGTTCAAGGCCTGCCCCTGAGACATACTGCTTTGTGCCCTGGGCATGACACAACCTCTGGGTGTTCCAAGTAGCTGTCTAGGAGTAGAGTTTCTCATCTGCTTTGATGAAGGGTTTCCTCACTAGAAGTTCCTTCCACCAACAAAATTATAGTTCTGGACCAATAAGTATGTAGAGCTAATTGGTGTTAGTATCTAACATTACTAAATTGTATTAAGTGAAACCTCTGGCAGAGTATCATGTGTTCACAGAATTCCCCTAAGATTCAAATTTCTGTGAACTTCATCTAACTTTAGCATAGAATTCTAGGAAGTAATTTTTGGAATTATTTCATGCAGTCAACCTTCTCTGACTCTGATTTAATTTCTGGAAGCAGGATTTGCAAAATGATAATTTGCAAAAATGAGTGATCTGACCAAATGACCATGCCCAGTTCTCTAATGAATCCAAGAATCCTTAAATTGAGAGAAGTAAAGAAAACTCTAGATCTTTTTTTTATTTGTTTTTTTAGGCAATTGGGGTTAAGTGACTTGCCCAGGTCACACAGCTATTAAGTGTCAAGTGTTTGGTCTGAGGCCGGATTTGAACTCAGGTCCTCCTGACTTCAGGGCTGGTGCTCTATCCACTGCACCACCTAGCTGCCCCGACAACTCTAGATCTTGTGGATGGATCTCGGCCTGTGCTTCAAAATAATTGTAGCAAGCATGTTTGAAAAGTAGTGCCTGTGATATATGCAGATAAAAGGACAAATTAATATGTAAAACTCACAGGCCAAGAGCTGCAATTCAATAAATATAATTTAATAATTTGCTCATGGAGCTGGCATTAATTCCCAAGGAATAGCTGTCTTAAAAGCCTTAAAGGCAGGGGCAGCTAGGTGGCGAAGTGGATAGAGCACCAGCCCCAGAGTCAGGAGGACCTGAGTTCAAATCCAGCCTCAGACACATAACACTTACTAGCTGTGTGACTCTGGGCAAGTCACTTAACCCCATTGCCTAGCAAAAAAAAAAAGTCTTAAAGTCAAAAAGGACTTATGGGGAGTCCAGAACACTCCACCTCTGTGGAAAGCAGGGAGTAATGGGCATATCCAAAGAAACACGAGGAGTTGTTTGTCTTGTTCCTGGGGCTAATAACTACAGTACTAAATAAATATTCTTCATCAGGCAAAGGCAGCAACCATGCTCTGCATGGTCTCTAAAATGTCTTTATGTTGCCAAGAATGTTTCATCAGTCAATCAATCAATCATTTATTTATTAGGAACCTTCTATGGGGCCAGCCTAGGGGTGGGGAACCTTCGGCCTGCAAGGCCACACGTGGCCCTCTAGATCCTCAAGTGCAGCCCTTTGACTTTTAAGGGGATTTGTTTGGTGAAGTGTGGATCAGTCAAAAGGTTGCCCTTGAAGACCTAGAGGGCCAAGTGGCCTTGAGGTGAAAGGTTCCCTACCCCTGGGCTAGACACCGTGGTGCTGGGTAATACAAAGACAATAAAGAAACTGTCCCTGGCCACAGGAGCTCACATTGTGTTGCAGCAGACTGCATGGACATATATAAGTATATACAAACAAAAATGTCCAAGGTAATGAGGACGGTGAAGGTGCTGGCAACTGGGGGATCCAGAAGAGCTGACGCAGAAGATGGCATCTGAGCCGAGCTTCTACGGTAACTAAGGATTCTAGGAGGCAGTAGTGAGGAGGGAAATGTACTATGGGCATGGGCACACAGCAGTGCATGGGAGCCAAGGCAGGAGTTCCTGGGTGTTGTGAGTGAAGAACAGAAAGGCCAGTTTGGCAGAAGGTAGAGGGGATGAAGGAGAGTAATCTGTAGCACAGCTGGAAAGGTAGAATGGAGACCACAAGTGAGGGCCAAATAAAGGGGTTTGTATTTGACTGTGGAGGTAATAAGGAGCCCCTGGGGTTAACTAAAGGGAGAGTTCCTAGTTCCCTCACATAATACATCACTTTCTAGCTATGGACTTGGATTAAATCACTTAAGTCTCTCTGAGCCCCAGTTGTAAAATGAAGGTGATAATAGTTACAGCTATTGTCTATCTCATAGGGTTGTGAGGAAAATATTGTAAAGCTGTAAAGCACTGTGAAAATGTAGTTATCATTTGAAATATCATCCAGTCACTGACATCCCTCAATCACTTAGCCATTAAGCAGTGGAATAAGTGGCATGTGTTGTTTTTGCAAAACTGAACTCCTTGCATTTTTCATCTGCTCCCTGATTTGTGAATGGAGTATCAGCAAGCAGAATCCTACCTTAGCCATCTAACAAGGCAGGTTTTTATTCTTTTCTTAAAACAACTTCAAGGAAAGTGACTCCACAGCCTCCTTCTGTAAAGATCTTACAATGTGTAAGTTGTTCCTTATATCTAACCTAAATCTCTTTCAGCAATTCAAGCCAATTTCCTTTTCTTCTATCCTGCCAGGAGGTAGAAAATTGTTGATCACCACCCTTCATATAATGGCCTCCCTATTCAGCCAATCAGTCCACAAACATTTATTAAGGGCCCATTGTAATAGGCACCGTCCTGAGTAGCAAAGGAAATTAGATCTATCAGGTTAAAGTGTGAAGCTAGCCTAGCAATTATATAGTACCTACATTTGACCCTCACAGCAGTCCTGGGAGGTAGGTTTATTATCCTTATTTTGTAGTTGAGGAAACTGAGGCAAACAGGAGTTAAGTGACTTGCCCAGCATCACAAAATTAGTAAGTGTCTGAGGCCAGATTTGGACTCAGGAAGATAAGTCTTCCTGACTCCAGGCCAAGCACTCTGTCTACTGGGTCACCTAGCTTACTAAGTTGTTTGAATCATGTCCAAGTCTTTATAAGCCCATTTGGGGTTTTCTTGGCGAAAATACTAGAGTTATTTGCCATTTCCTTCTCCAGCTCATTTTACAGATGAGGAAACTGAGGCAAATAGGGTTAAGTGGCTTGCCCAGGGTCATAAGGTAGTAAGTATCTAAGGATGGATTCGAACTTAGGTCTCCCTGACTCTAAGACCAGAGCTCTAAGAGCTCTACCTATTGTGTCATCTAGCTTCCTAATGCTAGGAATAATGAAATAGATTCAGGATAGCCCTACACTTTGTGAAGGAATGTAGGGTCAGTTTAAAAAGTATAGGACAGAACTGTGTATACAACTTTGTACAAGAGAAAGGGCATCAATCCTGGAGTCAAGGGAATCCGAGTTCAAATTCTACCTCTGACACTTGGTATAATATAGGGGAACTTGATGGGTCTTGGTTTCCTGAAATATAAAAAAAACCAAGAATTTAGACTAGATGGCCTTTGAAGTCGCGTATAGTTCCAAGATGGATAGGATTCTGCCTAAGCTTCACTAAGCAGTGGCTATTTTCATCCCTGTATCTCCCCAGAAGTAAGCAAGGTGCTTTTGCGCAAGGTAGGTTAAAGTGCATTAGATGGAACATATCTGCAGTCCAGTTTAATTCATTTGTGCTCTTTTAGATTCATTTACCATAGCTGCCTCTGAATACATTCTAAGTATAATGAGTACAATTGTGAATGAAAATGCACAGGGGTACACAAAACACAAATAATGTAACTGCAGATATGAATTGGTACATATGGTGCCCCTCTTGTGCTGTGTTTAGGGAATGGGCAGTTCTGACACAAGAAAACTCATTTAGCTTGTGTGCTTTTGATAAAGTTTGCTGTGAAAGATGTTCCTTTGTATCTGAGCAGGCTGAAAGGGGACAGTAGGTTCATTCTTTGTGGAAGCTGTTTCTTTAGTTGGTGAGCACTCACAACTTTCAGTCCAAAAGGAAGGCATCAGGGACACAGTGAGGAAGAGAAAGGTGGGCTAAATATAAGGGTTTATTCAGCAAAACAGTGACAGCATATGTATTGTTTTATGGTTTACAAAGCACTTTGCTTCCAATAATACAGCAAGGCAGGTAATCCAAATATTATTGTTACCTCCATTTTAAAGATGATTAAGTGGAGGATTAGAGAGATTCTGGAGAGCAGAGAGATTAAAAGATTTGCCTACACAGCTATCTGTAGCTAATAAGTGGCAGAACTAGTTCTTCTGACCTGACTTCAGGCCTTTTTCCACTGTGAATTCAAGAAGAGCTTGAGCAAGGAAGGACCACAAGCACGAGAAGAAAATTAAGGGTCAGGAATCAGATACTTCTATTGACTCTTGGAATCAAATGTTATTCTTATCTTTTTATTCTTCTTGTGTTTCTTATATATCCTGAACTGCTCGAGTCACCAACCCCAGTATTTCTGCCCGAGATTCCTAGAAAAGTGTACCTGATTGTGTAAAAAAAAAAAGGACAAGTTATGATCATAGATTCATATTCATATTTTGGTTTCCTGCATGTCATCTCTGGACTGTGAAAACTATAGAAGAAGAAGTTTAGAATGGTATACTATATACTTCCCTAATATAAATGTGGTCTATTAGTTAATTTTTGTAAACATTTAAAAAAATAATGAAAGTAATATAAATTGTCCTTAGAGACTTTTGGGCTTGACAGTTATGTTGACATACCTATATATTTTGATGAATAGCACTCTTAATTTTTCTCAATTTGCACAAAGGATATTGGAGTATTAAATTTAAGAAATATGTCTTTTCCTTTAGGTACTCAAGTATTAAATTCACTCATTCCT